TGAGCTGGAAAGGGGTCGGAACTCCCCAGCTGACACAGGAGCTGTGAAGGAATCCTTCAGCGGCCAGAGAAGACTCTGGCAAAGCGGGCCGGCCCCGCCGAGTGTGCCGATCCGTCGCCGTTCCGAGTCGGATGCCAACCACCAAACCATGGAAGAGAAAAAAAAACAGATTGTGTCACAACCATTTTTAGGCGAAATCTCGTATCAAAAGGGGGTTATATATACCGGGGCCATTTATCTCACAATGCGTGTGATGACATATCGGCAGGATATGCATATTGCATACCAATATTACTATGATGATTGTCGCTTATGCATGCTAGGCAATGCTCTATTGACCAACGACAAGAAAGGCACCTCACTCTGGCAAAAAAAAAACGATTTACAAACGCCACTACCATAAAAAACGAAACACAGTTAACTCGTACCTCAATGCAGAGTGAGAGCCACACAATCATGGGCTACCCTAAAATTGCATCCTAGAAAATGGCATGCCTACCTACTGCAGCCTTTAAACATGGGTGTGAAAACTTCCTCTGGGTAATAGCCTGTAACTTACTATGCTATCGCTAATGCATCCCAAAACCATCTTACATAATTCCCCATCTAATCCATAATATCCTAGTCTGCCGAGACTTATCACACCGAAACTGGGTTCCACTGTATCACCTCTGTACCTCTGTATCACCCACTAAACCTTTCATTCCAACCTATCAACACCAGATAACAATACCAACTTAGACCAATACCATTGCGTTGGTTATCCTTAGCATGAACTCCATTTACCCTCTCAAGTCTCACCCGGTACCTAGTTGGTACCCTTGTTATCAACAATCCCTAACCCACTAATGAAAACCCCGCTCGGACACGCTCGGACAGAGCCAACATCACCAGCAGCTCATTCTCCACGGGGTACGCCCACCTGGCACACCTTACGCCAGTAACCGTGCACCTGTATGGGAACCACAGTTCAACCCCAGGCACCACAAAACGGCAATTCTACCAACTCTCTGCACAACCACCGGCCAACACCACGTGGCCACCAAACCCTACGCCGGCCAGGCCGTGCACTCTGAGCTGCTACACCGAGAAAGCATGAGCTGATTCCACTCACACGGAGTGTAGAATGGCAAAGTCCGGCGCTCCGTTCCAGGGAAGAAACAAAAAACAGTTACAGCTATGTTACACCTAGCAAATACCTACACCCAATCTCCCAAAATCTGAAAAACACACCAAGCCTATTTCTACCAGCAGTCCAAGTTTCGTTGTTTCATCTAACCTTCAAAGAACCTATAATACCGGGCATTTGCCGACCCATTGCTCATCGACCCTCTTCTTACCGTGATAGCATAACATAAACACAAAAAACCAGACCTCATGCCGAAAATGAAAAAAATCAGACAGAAACAACAAACCAGTAAAAAATAAACAAAAACCCCGAAAGGAAAAAAAACATCCTCGTCAATCAATATAACATTGCTATAAAACCGAACTTATACTCCCCTTGATGTCTTCCAGCTTCCACTGAACACGACCGCAGTAAACGCAAAAACATTTCAGAGCGAGAACACTGCTGACTTGCGTCAGACCGGGCGGCTTAGAACAGAGTGACCACGCAAATGCACTCAAACCCCGCGCCGTCACCGTCACGTGACACAAGTCGCTCCACCAATCAGATGAGGCCGCCGCCTTAGCGGCCTTGCCGCCCGGGGGCGCAGGCGGCCGCCCGCCTGCCGCCGAACGCTGCTCGCAGAGGCCGGCCCGGCTCCGGGGCCGCCCCAAAGAAGACGCTCGTTGTGTCGCGGAAAAACCGGTTATATCTTGTCATATATAACCGGGCGTATTTTTCCCCCAAGCTCAAAATCTCTGGCTACGCCTATGGTTCCAGACCTCGCCTTTTCCTCCACAACTTCATTTGTCGGCGAAGTGCGCCCTAAAAGCCAAAAGAATAAACACAACTATTTAAAATATGTATTTGTTCATGCATTTCGGTTCGACGATAATATGGGTTTGCACGACTATCACCGTCTTAGTGATTCGCATAGTCGCCCCTCGATCTGTTGTTGACACTCGGCTATTTCCTGGTAAGGCGCCTCGACAGCCTCATATACATCATCATCATCCCCCTGATTGTGCTCACGCATTTCAAGCACTTCTGTTGGTGGAGGTGGCGGTAGAGGCATGAGGAAGATGTGCTGAGGCCTCATTTCGGAATGTTTCACACGTGTGTTGTGTGTCCCGGCGGGTCTGGCACTGGCCTGACTGGTTGGCACACCCTGATCTGACGCGTGGTGAGAGTTGATGTCGACTGGCTCGACTACGTCGTGAATCTGTGCGCCGATCGGTCGAGGTGAGTCTTCTCCGTCACCACGTCGAGCTTCAGGGGATTCCAGCAGGGCTCTCGTAAGCTCCCTGAAATGGTAGTCCACGGAAGCTATGCGATTTTGCGAATTTGATTCTTCATCTCGCGAGCCACGTAGACGGTATTTCGAATGGGTAAGAAAGAACAAAGAGACGGCTAGTAGCGAGAAAAGTGCGACCACGATGACAGGAGTGGTGGTAGCGATCACGGTTTCGTGGAAGGAGCTAACGGTATGTTCCTGATTGTGCACATCATCCGGCTGGCCTTTTGCCTCGAGGATCGTTTCAGGGATCTCCGAGGAAGTCCCAGAGGTTAGGGATGGTCTGTGTTCTCCAGTGGAGGTGACCGTTGTGGTGGAAACAATACCGGTACGTGGCAAAATAGGGAACGATAAAGACGTCGGCTCCGTGCAGAACTCCTTCAGGTAGTGTCCCAGAGTCGGTCTCACGCCCTTGATCACGCAGAGAGGCTGGTTGATCCAGAATGCGTGCTCGGAAGACATGTCCAGACCCAATGTTACAGTTATGTTACAGTCACAGGGAATGTCTGTTTTGACGTCATTCACTGTTATTCCCTGGCTGTGGTCAAACAGCAGCGAGCCGTTCTGTGGACGTTTTAGGTGGAGGTTGGCTAGCAGGATCCGAGGGTGTGCCGTGCCTGTGCTGTAGCCTTGTTTCACGTTTAGTGAGTTGAGGGCTCCCTTTTCCATAACATCGATTGTGCAGTTTCTGATTGTGATAGCGCTGTCAGCAAGCACCACGAATGCTTTTTCTGATGCTTCATTGATAGTGCTGTTCTCAATGGAAAGCGTCGTAACATTCAGCTGCAGCCCTGCCTTTGCTATTTTTCCTATTGTGCTCTTCTTGATATGAGCTTCTGTGACCGTCCCGTTGATGCCCGATTCATCAATTTGGTTCAAGTGGCTGCTTTCTATAGTCAGCTTCCTCATTCCGTGACCAGTTGAGAAGCAATTTTTCTTGGTACGATGGATATGCGACGAGCTCAGGGACAGCGTAGCAATATTGGCACCGAACGTGTTTTCGCCACAAGTTTCCATGGCAACGTTCTTTAGACTCAGCTCGGCAATTTCTGCCTCAATGCCATCCGATTCAATGTTGAGGCACGTCACTCTTTCGATGCTGAGTTCCTGAATCATTGCGTTTCGGGACAGTGCGCCTAAGTGTACGGTGATGTTCTCGGTGGCTAGAATCAGAAACCAGTGCACCTTTGCCTCCAACGCGCGCTCCTGTAGAGAAATGTACTTCATCTGCCTCATATAGATAGTTTCTATCGTAGAATCAGCGCTGAAGGCGCTTTCCTGAACGATCAGCGATTGTATGCTTGTCAAAGACAAAATGCGAAGCTGTGCGTCGGCCATAGAGCGCTCTGACATCTGACAGTCATTGACGCCGTCAATGGTGATTGTCGAGTCGCCTCTCCAGCCATGAAATGTTTCCGGATGCAGCTGAAGACTCTTCACTGAGCGTATCGTCACGGTGATCTGTTCGGCCTCGCTGTCACGTGCCAGAGAGCGGGGCAGCAGGATCAAGGTGCTGACGTTGGTGATCTCGATGTCCTTCAGAGATGTCAGAGAGGAGATGGCGTCCGGTTCGAAGGTGATCATCTCGGCATCGGAAATTCGGATGTCACGCACACCTCTTGGAAATGACGTAGCCGTGATGTTGATCTGGAACAGAGGCATATGAGCATGAATTAGAGAAATGTCAATCGGAATCGACTTTTTGGTATAGGTGATGCCACACCGATACCAACTTAGCATTTGGTATTTTGTATTGGGCATTTTTTGGCATTATGAAGCACCACAAATTTATACGATGCTCTGACATGCTCTGACTTTGGTAAAATGTTGGTGTTTCTATCAATTTTACAAATTAGCTTGGTTTTTGGTATTTTACTATTATTTTAGCTGGTATCCCATTGTTTTGGCTTGGCTTGGTATCGTTTTCCAAATTTTCTCTACTTGAGTTGACATAGTTATTACGAACGGAGGTGCTTTGACCAAACACGTGATGGAAGGGCAAGGGTGGGTGGATGGCGAACGCTGAATTTAGAGAAAGGCTACCATAGAATAGGCGGACCATAATCATGTAGCATTCCTCACAGTCGTTCCTCTGTTACCGGTTCGCAACCTGTGACTGCCATATGACAAACAGTTAGGCAAGATGGTACAGCCCTCGGCTCACTACGTGGTAGGTATTCTTTTTTTGTGACAAAAGCGATAATAGCTCGAGGGCTATGGCACGAGTTGATCGGAACTCTTAAGGGGCAGACGTGCGATGCTCCACTCTTTCGAACAGGCCTATTATTAAACAAATCATGCGTCCAGTGTTGCAGCAAAAAGAAAAAGTTTGTTTTGGGAGCAAATACAAACTTCCGCGCATTACCGCTAAACGGGGTGAAAAATGAATAGGACGACGGGTCATATAGGAAAACAACCAAACTTTATGACGTCTCTGTGACATCGTCTTGAGTGCTACAACCACCAATCTTTTCTTAAATATTGAACATGTTGTTTTTATTTTTGTTTTGTTGGGTTAGGCTCTTTCGGTCTAGCAAGACCATTTCAGACCCGGAAGGATGATAGGAAGTAAGGTGAGACATTGGTCTGGGCAGACACCCCGGTGAGTCGCCGGGGCTGAGCCCGTCCAGAGGACAGGCAGCCCCGTGACACTCACCGCACCCGGCTACGGGCCTGTTTCTAGGGGAGCTTCCCGCATGGGATAAAGTTGCCGGTCCAGCCCGTAACAGGGGTACTGAGGTGTGGAGGAGGCTTTGAACATCTTGAGTATGGAAACGACGGAACAATGGAATATGGTATTCATTCGTAGCTATACCAACTACCAAGTAACAAGTTCATATCTTATCCGTTTTCGGAGATCACACAAAACGTAAGGGAGGGGGGGGGGGGGTGACAACTTTATGCCCCCAGCGTTTCGTGGACTAAAAGCCTATACCACCCGGTCTGCCTCCACTCACCTGCTTCATTGGCCCGTCTTTCATGCTGCAGATTACTGTTCCGGAGTGCTCACATTCCTTCCGCACAGCAAACTGACAGTTGGACTCTCGGCAGTCGGTGGCTGAGACCACATGCCGGCTGATGACTGCCACAACGAACAGCGCCATCAGCGGGAGAGGCCCGCCCATTCTGGGGGGCTAGCTTGGACTCTGGAAGGAGCGGGGACTAAGATCGCTGAGGCGGGGACGGTGGTCCGACACTAAAACTAGTATGTGCCCAAACGACCGCAGCATATAGGGCTCGACTACTAGTCGAGGTTATCAATGCTCAAGTGGATCAGCAAAGATAGCAGCTGAAACGTTCGAAGTACGAGCGTTGCGGAGTCTCATAATAATGCAGGTCAGTGGCGCAGCCAGGATTTCATTTCGGGGTTCAGATCATTCAAAGCGGGCCCTGTGGTGTGTAGGTGTTACAGGCAATGTGTGGAATCAGGCATTCTATAGAATGCCTAGGCATTCTATAGAATGCCTGACCGACCAGGCATTCTATAGAATCCCTAGGTATTCTATAGAATGCCTGACCCACCAGGGATTCTATAGAATCCCTAGGCATTCTAAAGAATGCCTGATTTTCAGGCATTCTATAGAATGCCTATAGGAAATACACGAATCTTTCCAACATATAAGTGTATGTTGTATAAGATTATGAGCACAGACCGACATGTAACATTATTATTTTCTGCCAGGCTACCTTGCGTTCAGCTATTTATGTTCATTCAGTCAAATGTTCATTCAGTCAAATTTTCCGGTCAGGTATTCAATCTGACCTTATTAGGTCAAATTGTATCAGGATTTCATTCTGAGAGTACAGAGTATTTATCTTAACGCTAGAAAGACGATGGTGGTAATGTCAATATCGGAAACGCCTTTGGTAAAAAAAAAAAATACACAGAAAAAAAAAATTGACAAATCGTCCATTTTTGGAGGTGTTTGCCTTCTAAGGAATTGATTTAAGGTCAAACTGGAGAAAACGGCTACGAGCCAAAAATGGACAAAAATTGGGCTGACCTAAAAAATGGCTTAGCTATTTGTTCTAGAAATGGCACCCTTTCGAACATTGCCAAAGAAGAACTGAAGTAAAATTTCATAATTTTGAGTCTTTGACGACCTTTCGAATACCGCATGGCCCAGAAGTCAAGCTGGAAGGGGAGATCGAACAACACCTAATCCGGCTCTTGTTACGGCCGGGCCACCGCCCGGGCGTGAAATAATGAACCATTTATTCAGGTTATTCCCTGACATTACGGTGTAGGTTGAGCTGTCCATGTATGCATATTGAGAGTCGTTACACGAAGTGCTTATGACGACATAAAATGTGACCTTTGGTGTATTTTTCACCTTCATTTCTAACATCAGAACAAAGCCATCGTCATTCCCAATCACTTTCGATTCAAGCCTACGGTCCACCCTCCCAGCCAACACTCTTCTAATGCAGCTTCGTATCTGTAGCAGCATAATCCTCCGAGGGTAACCGTTTAAGCGACTGGCTGGCCTGTGACTCTCCCGCGTGCCTTGCGCCGTGGCTCTCCCGTGCCAACGGAATTGGATCAGCTGCTGCTTGCGGCGCACCATTTGGTGGTCGGCATAGCCCAATACCTCCCTCGCTTCCTCTCAGCTCATTGCCCTGAAATGGTGTGAGGTGACGACCGGCCTAGGCCAACAATGAAAATTAGGTAAACAAATAGCATTACTGCCACTGACCCCTAATTTTCGAAGTGTGTTTCGGACAATCAAAATACTTAGGCATTCTATAGAATGCCTGGGAGCTTAACCCGCGCGGGGCTGGGGGGGGGTAAATTTTACCCCCCCCTCGCGAATTTTTGCGATATCTCAAAAACGGCGACGCGCAGCGCCGCCAAGCTTTCAGTACCTTTTTTTACATCAATTTGACACGTTCCCTGAAAATTTGAGCGAAATCCGTCGGAAAATTTTTGAGAAATTGACGTTTTAGTGACGTCATGTTCGCCATTTTCGCATCAAAAACGGCAAAAGTTCAAACGCCGCTAACATCTTCATTTTTAAAGGCATCAAGACGTAACAAAAAAGGTTATACGTAATTTTACTTTGTCTTTCAAATGGCTATCTCGGTTTTTTGAAAATTTTGGATTTTGGCCTAAATTTTTTCAAAAACTGACTTTTTTGGGAAAATCATTATAAAATCCAAAATTTTGAGTCTATCGAAAAAACCGGAATATATGTCAGAGAAGTGGTCTATGTGCACCTACATACCAAATTTTAGAAGAATCGGTTCAAAAATGTGGGAGTTATTCAAAATTTTATGACGTCACGACACATAATTTTTTTGAAAAATGACTTTTTTGGAAGTTCTAGACCTCGTACGGAAACAAAAATAGCACCATTCGATTCGCCGTGAAAACTGCATCAGATAGACACCTTTTTAGGCCTTAAACAACCAACTTCAAAATTTGACCTCACTTGACCTGACCTTGACCTGACCTCGACCTGAAATTCATCCAGAGGTGGTCCATATCACTTATTGAGTGTGCCTATTGAATTCTATGAGTAAAATGACCCATAAAACATGTGTCGCACATGCGCTTTTCTATATTTTGTTTTTTGGTGACCTGACCTGACCTGACCTGACCTTGATCTTGACCTCTGAATGATATTGTATGCAACGAATATTGTCTTGGTAGCCTAAGAACACGTTTTGGGCGATCAGTCTCAGTCCATGACTCCATTCTTCGGCAACTACGGTGCAAGGCCGATACTGTAGAAACTTGCAATTTGTACCCTTGACCTGACCTTGACCTTGACCTCAAACTTTAAATTAAGTACATGTTTTTAGTAGTTCGTGATGAGAGCTTTCGATTGGCGTTTGAATTTTCCAAATCGGACCATTAGTTCGGGAGATAACAGGGGGGGGGGGGTAAAATTTACCCCCCCCCCAGCCCCGCGCGTTCGGCTGGAGACCCCAGCCCCGCGCGGGTTAAGCCAGGCATTCTATAGAATGCCTAAGCAGTCAGGGATTCTATAGAATACCTAGGGATTCTATAGAATGCCTGGTCGGTCAGGCATTCTATAGAATGCCTAGTCATTCTATAGAATGCCTGATTCCACACATTGCCTGTAACATAGGCACCCATCATTTTTTTTTTAAATTGTACCAGATTTCATATGTATCCTACTGAGCGGGTTTCTATAAGCCGCGCCTGTGGGGATTTCACTTCGCCCAGACCCCCATGATTTTGCAGCTTTTCTATTCATTTGACATTTTTTGGAACAGACCACGTCTGACGGGCCCGTTTGTCTCTTATCGTCATGGAACGGAATGATATATTTTTGCCATCCTCGATGGTTTGCCTACAATGCCCCATTTGTTAACCCGCGCCCCACTGGGGGGGGGGGCTATTCATAGCCCCCTCCCGTTTTTCTGCAATAACTTCCAAATCACTTGACGTATCAACGCCAAACTTTCAGTACCTTCGGCTGCATCAATTTGACACATTGTGTAAAAAATTTGAACTTCGTAGCTACCATAGGTCGGCCGAAAATGACGTCAGAGTGACTTCATGTTCGGCCGATTTCGACGCAAAACATTGAACCACGGCAATCGCTCCCAAGAGCTCAGTTTTTAAGCTAGATACAATTTCTTTGCATGAAAGGACTAAGAATCGACTGCGCTATCAAACTGCTATCATTGAAAATTTTGAAAATTTTATAAAATAATATTCAAAATTTATATTTTTATATTTTATCAAAAAGTTTTTGACTTTTTGAAAAAACCGGAACATATATGACAGAACGCATGGCTATGACTAACTCTAGCAAGTTTTAGCTAAATATCTTCAAAAATGGCCAAGTTATACCCATTATTGCAAAAAATTCACAATTATTAATTTTTCAAATCAATTTTTCAGTACGTATTTGACATAGTACACCAATATAAATAGCACCATCGTGTTCCTAAGCTCAAACTGCATCCAAAAGAAACCTTTTTTGTTGAAAAATTTCAACTTCAAAATTTGACCTTTTTGACCTGAAAGTGACCTGACCAATGCTAAATTCGACTCAAAATGACCTCGAACGACACAGACGACATCAAATTCGAAATCTATAGCCTAAATGGACCATAAAACATGTGTCACGTGACCGACGCATGATATATTTCCGTGACCTGTGAAGACTTGACCCTGACCTGAAAATCAAAGAACAAGTTTGGTACCCTCAAGGTATCTAGAGCATCTGTTCACGAGCGTGGAAACCAAAAATGAGCCTGATCTGACTTGTAAGACGGCGGCCAGAGCCCAAAATATGAACAAGCCAAAATGCTAATAATTTTTACTTTGACCTGCCCTGACCTGTGACGTCATCAGTGACCTCGAGGTCAATGAAATTAGGTTTCGCTCGACAGTTTGACAATTTTTCCGGGGCTATCAGACGTTGTTTGAATTTTGACGATCGGCCCAGTAGTTTCGGAGTTAGGAGGGGGGCTATGGAGAGCCCCCCCCCCCCCAGTAGGGCGTGTTATACGCAGACCCCAGTGGGGCGCGGGTTAACGTGCATGAACATGCCCGATGCTGTAAAGGGATTTGTAAATACATGACATTTTTCTAACTTCGCTGGGGTGACTTTGAACGTGCTAAATAATAAATATATCCCTGGTGAAATGCATGTCAGAAGCTTAGCTTTGCAGTTGTTTTAGGTAACCAAAAATAACCAAAATAGGTACCTTTCACACACCTATGCACTACAAACTTTCATTGATTTTCATTTCAGCGTTACCTAACTCATCCAAGCCTATAGTTATGGTTGTATTTTTCGCCGTCGCATTTTTTCTATCGTTAAATTGAACTGTCAGCGCAATATCTGTCAAATCCATCAATGCTCACAAGCCAAGGTATTCCTTTTGTTGATTGGTAAATGCTGAGTCTGCTGGAAAATGTACCCTAAGTACATTTTCAAAAAGTTTTCGTACCTTCAAAAAGTGATTTAAGCCAAGCAATGTTTGACATTTTACCCAAATCATTAACTGGGATTACCAAATTCTTATTACGAGCGAGCGAGCGCAGCGAGCGAAGCGAGTCTTTTCAATATAACGGAAAAATCTCAGTATGATCGGCCCGGCCCGGCCCGGCCTGTAACGTTTTTGAGAGGCTTATATCTCAGCAACTGCTGGACCGATTGGCCCGCGGTCTTTTTTGCTGGGTGGCCCCATCCCTTCTACCCCGTAATTGACTACTTTTGATACATCTCAGTGACCGTCGTGGCACGTGCCACGTGAAAAGTCAAGGGTGTTCAAGCTGTTTTGCA